CGTCACTCTCCATCCTGATTTGTGACTCTTATTCGAATTATTGCTATGAAATTTCCCGGTCTTACCGCATTGGGCATCCCGGTGCGCTCTCGGACTTTTGTTTTAATGAAAGGGCTCCAAACGAATAGTTTTTTTAAGCACTTTTATTTAAGTTATTGCTATTGTTCATTTAATTTGTTTTAACGTTCACATTTCATCCAGAGCGGTTTCCTTGCGCTAATATTTTGGGATTGACACCAAAGAAAAGGGATTTCTGTCAGCTACCTACCGAGTTCGAACACACACACATATTTATGCACGAAAGAAACCCACACACACATGCCAGCATTAACGCTGCAGGGGACGTGTTTTAACGGTTATTTTTGTTGAGGGGTGTGTAGTGGTTCTCCTGGTTCTGTTTAACATCAGACAAACCTCATTTCTCATGTGCTTCCCTAACCATTTCTGACTTTATTTTGTTCTTCTCATTCACGTCTCCTCTGATGCATTCATTGGTTCTGCGATTCTCATATATTCTCAGTGGTCAGATGTGTGTGAGTGGGAAATACAGATTCATTTGCAGTTGGATGTCTGCTGTGAGCTTTTACTTTTATTTTACAGTTTACATCATTTTTTTTTTAATTCAAAGTGATTTCATTTCAGTCTTTTGTGTCTGGTTTTATATAAATGATACAGTTTATAATTAATAAAAATGTTCAACATTGGACTTTTTGGATTTTAGCGACTTCTTTGCGTTGGATTTTTGATCTCTAATGTTCAATGCATCATCTGACCAGAGGTGATGTGGATCTGTGGAGTCATTTTTGTTAAAATCAGACATTATTATTTGCACTGTTTTTCAGGGCCCTATTATATATGTTGTAACATATTATATAATGTATATCCTTTTTTAGTGATAGAATATATATAATTGCAATAGATCAGTTGTTAGATGAATATGTGTGGATTTGACATAACTTACTTCATTTTAATGGAGATCATTTAATGAAAAACTGACAATTTATTAGGAAATATTCTCATTTCTTCATTTTTACTTTTCTATAATCAAAAGTGTGTCGAAAGTGGAATTTATTATGTTATTTGGTAATCAGTTTATATATATATATGTGTGTGTGTGTGTGTGTGTGTGTGTGTGTGTGTGTGTGTGTGTGTGTGTGT